AAGAGGGGCTTGGTGAGATCAAAGGGGTTTGGGAGCATCTGGATGAGCCATCGAGCCCAAACGATGGGTTTTGGGGGGTTCTAGGTGACCCTTGGTGGGTTCTAGGTGACCCTTGGTGGCCTCAAGAGTTTCTGATGACCCAACAATGGCTTTTGGTGGGTTCTAGGTGACACCTGGTGGGTTCTAGCTGACCCTTGAAGGGCTCAGGAGCTTTTGAAGCCCCAATGACAGCTTTTGGTGGGTTCTAGGTAACCCTTGGTGGCTCCAAGCCCTCCCTCCGTCCCCCCCGGCCCGTACCTGGCTCTCCACCAGCATGGCCATGTCCACGAACATGTCGTGCAGCTCCCGGATGCTGGTCTCCAGCTTAATGATCTCATTGTGCCGCGTCTCGATCTCGTTCAGGGCTTGTTTGGTCATCTGCGAGTCCATCTTGATCTGGAACCGGAGACGGGAGGTGGGTGGGAGCGAAGAGCAGGGCTCCCTGGGCTCGAGATGGCCCAATGGGGCTCCAGAAAGTCATCGATGACCTCACGGTTTTAGGTCACGCAACAATTCGGGGCATTTTGTTGGGTTTTGGGGGATCTGATGGGTTCTAGGTCACCCAACGGGTTCTGGGTGACCCAATGGGGCCAGAAACGTCCAAAAACCCCCAAATCTGCTGGTTTTGGGGTGACACGGATGTTCGGGGGCACCTCATTGGCCCCACCCCAGGGGTCTGGTTGGGTTCTAGGTGCCCCAAGGGGTTCTAGGTGACCCAACAGGCGCCAGAAACCTCCAAAACCCCCAAAATCTGCTGGTTTTGGGGTGATGGGACCGTTGGGGGGCACCTCACTGGTCCCCCTGGGGTCTGGTTGGGTTCTAGGTGCCCCAAGGGGTTCTAGGTGACCCAACGGGTTCCGGGTGACCCAATGGGCGCCAGAAATCTCAAAAAACCCAAAAATCTGCCATTTTTGGGGCGATGGGACCGTTGGGGGGCACCTCACTGGTCCCCCCGGGGTCTGGTTGGGTTCTGGGTGCCCCAAGGGGGTGCCGGGACCCTCGGGGGGGTCATGGAGGCCACACGTACGTCATCGGTGAAGATGGCCAACTTGCCGCTCTCCAGCATGTCCTCCAGCTCCTCGTTGGTGGTGGTCCGGCCGG